TTAAAAATTTAATTTGAAGAAACAATTTTATAGCTTTTATTCTTGGAAAAAAAGATGTGAATCAGAGTGTTCTCATTTTGAGGGAAGAAATTTGGTAGGACGTTTAAACGGAGTTACAGGTTCTTCAATTAAAATGGCGGGAATCTAGAGAATAATGTATTCTACTTGCATGAAAATATTAATGTGTTTTCCTTCTATCAACCTACAACCCAGGAAGTACTAAATGTCTTTGAAAAAGAAACATTAAATATTTGGGGCTGAACTGGTCAGGATGACAACGGATCACTGAGGTCACAGCTGATTTCACAGCTGATTTCTGGCAATGAATACAAAGTCTTCCCCACTACCCTTTCGGCTTGTTTTTTTCCAGTTGCCTTTCCTGCCTCCACCCTCACATAAAAACCCTTAATTATGGAAAATACTTCAAAAAGTACTTAAGTAAAAGTTACAAATGAAGACATATGCTGAAGTCCTGATCTGAGGCTTTTACCAGTGAGTCAATGGAGAGGTAATGGCTTCAAATTGCGCCAGGGAAGGTTTAGAGTAGATATTATGAAGCATTACTTTACAGAATGGGTTGTTAGGCATTGGAATGGGCTGCCCAGGGAGGTGGTGGAGTCCCCATCCCTGGAGGTGTTTAAGAGTCGGGTCGACATAGCGCTGAGGAATATGGTGTAGTTGGGAACTGTCAGTGTTAGGTTAATGGTTAGACTGGATGATCTTCAAGATCTTTTCCAACCTAGACAATTCTGTGATTCATGCCCAGTGTGCAAATCAGAGCAGCACTTCTGAGCAATCTGCTAGAACAGCATCTGCACATCAAACATTTGCCTCCTGATGCCCCTCTATACAATGCACAGAAGTTAAAATGCCTGCACAGCTGAGCAGAAGTCCACCAGGGAAACAGCAGCATCTTAGCAATACACTAATACCACTGGGCAGGAACACATATACCTGGAAATGACACAAGCCTGCCTTCGGGACTGAAAGCTTTTCTGGGGAAAACAATAGCAATAGGAGATGATGCCTGTGGTACAGCAGGGAGTGAAGTGCTTACAGGCCATGAAACAAAACAGGCTTGCCACTAACAAGAGGCAACAGAGCTTCAGTAGGCAATGCTGATGTTGACTGCAATCTTTAAGTTCTTAGTAAAAACAAGGCCATTTCTTGTCTTTGCAGATGCATCAACTACAGAGACTGGATTTCCCTCATCCTTACATTTTATTTCAGGGACAGAAAGGCAGATAAAGAGTACTCTGTCTTGTGAGAACGGGTGCATCACATGACTTAAAATCCTTTTAAAAAACCTAAAAAGCTACAACTGACTATGCAGTATAACTTTTTCTAGTTGGATTCTTTAAGAGCCTGTGACCTACTTTAGCACTGCTTTGAGAAATAAAATGAGCAATAAGATCAGCAGCAGCAGCAGCAATGTTAGCAGCAAGCTAAAATTGGAAAGGATTTTCATTACTCTATTTAAAAAAAAAAAAAAAAAAAAAAAAAAAAAAAAAAAAGACCTTGTTCCCCCAAAACCAAACATAAATCCCTCAAGTGGTAATAAAGCATCTGCTGCAGTGGCACAGCCTTCTCCTTTTCGCTCCCAATTGCACTATGCCAACCTGACCTAGTTTTCTGAGGAAAAAAATAAATTGAGCTGCAGCACTTCTGTAATAAAAATATTATACTTTATCAAAATGAAGCAAATGTAAAGATTTCTGATCTCAGCCCTGTTAAAAGATTGTCATGAGCTAGGTGGCATTACAGCTTAGGAGAAGCAAGGGCTGCATGTACAGAGTATTGGTATGTAAGATCCCTACATCAGTTATTATTGTTCCCAGGTATTTAGATGTGTAGACTCAATGAATGGCCAGTTTTATTGCTTGCAGAGCTCCATCAGTCTTGGTTGCCACCTTCCTACCAAACTTTTCACTGAAAACAGAGATGATACGGTTCTGTAGACAAGCCCTGGATTGCTTATTACATTCACAGAAATCCTAGTTTCTGAAGCCACTGCTGTATACAGTCTAAGAAATGTTGACAACTACAAATGTAGTATATATACCCTCTCTTCACGTTCTATGTGAGCTGTTTAGGGAGACCATTGCTGTGGCAGTTTCCTCTTCGTGTACAGGAACTGCATGATGTGCCCCCATGGACCTTCCCAAGGGAAAATGGGCTTCAAGATGGATCCTGGCCCAAGAGGCAGGATCAAGGAGAGAAGGAATGGGCAGAAACATTGAGTAGAGTTAGCAACAGCCTGATCTCAAAGCAAGGACTACCTATGAACTTTGCATTCTTGCCGACAATTAACACAGTAGGCATTGCTGTGATATCTAGCAGTAATGATCTTCTGCAATTGCACAATCTTTGGAATACAAGGATCCAAAAATAACACAGCCTTATTAAAAGACTTATGCATATATTGCATCTGCTAGGTGGACAGACCATTAAAACTCCAGTGTAGTGAAGAAAACCTGAAAGATGTGGTAGATACTCTTTGTATTCTACAGCTTTTACAGCAATGAACTGGTTATACAATATAATGGAGACAGAGGGCAAGAAAGGTTTCCAGGAAAGCACACAGCAACCAATCAACATGAAATTACACTGTGGATGTTCTTAAGCAGAATTATTTAACTTACTTCTACTTCCCCCTAAGTGTTAATGAGCATCTTTAATGCTAATGCTTTGTGAAGGTGCTTCTCTTAGAACAGGACTCCAGGAATACTTGCATATGTATGTAAATGAATGTAGCCAAATAATTTCATTCTATTCAGAAATATCAAACTAGGTGATTTAAGATTTTCTGGATAAGATTTTTAACTCTGCACATTAGGGTTGAGTGTCCTCATATCTATTCCAGAGCACTAGGCACAATTCATTTACAAATTCTCAACACCTGCACCAAGGTTGCAGTAACAAACTAGTACAATTCAGCTGTGTGTATACTTCACTGAAGATGTGGAATTATAGCAGAGTGACTTTTCCCCTTCATTTTCTGCACTGTATTTGTTTTAAACACACTGTAAAGCTGGAAAACCTTATTAGTTTAACCATGCAGGTACGTTAAGGGCAGGCTGCTAGTCTTTGGGCTAGGGCGGGGAAAAAAAAGATAAAATATTCAGGTAAATACATTCTTTTACATGTCCTGTGTTCACTGTTGATAGTATACCAGCACATTTCTTTCTGACACAGCAAAAGGATCTATGACTCACAATGTAAAAACTCAGTTCTAGGAGACAAAAGGACTTCTGAGGTCAGTGAACCCCTTTAGGAGAGGAGTTGATGGCAGAAAGGGCAGGAAACAGAGGTCTTTGGCTTCTTGTTTGTCCTCTACCAGGGAGAAAAAATAACGGAGTGTCACTAGGATGAGTACAGAAAAAAAGTTGGCTTTGGTTTTCTGTTTTTGTTTTTTCTTTTCTTTAAATATATGGCTTTGTGCATCATCCATTAACCAGGAAAAAAAAAAAAAAAAAGTTAATTGAAGACCTCTTGAACCTTGAGTAGTTGAGTAGATAATGTCCTGTCAAATAAGGTAGAGCATATCATGGCATCAACTCTGTTTTAACTTCAGTCCTCATGTACTGTGAGCAGCCACATCGACCAGTCCTTAGAGAGACTCAGCCCTGGATTCTGTTCATGTCCTTCTTTACCTGCTTTGCCTACTCAGGGTATTAGGTCTGCTCAACAATTACATGACTGGGTATCCTAATATTTGCCTTAAGCCTTAAAATCTCTGTGTCAGACATTAAACATCTTTCTATTTTAACATAGTCTATCTTCCTAAAAGTGGCTATGATTTAAAATTAGATCCTGCAATGAGCAGACCATGGTATTCTGTCTGTCTTTATTATGATGTGAGGTTACTGACCCTTCAGTTACTGCCCTGCTGGGATTTTTGTAATGTCCTGGCACGTGAAAAGGTCCTTTTTTTGGTTTTGGCACTATGACTTTCAGAGTGGATTTCTTTCTACAATCATAAATACATGCTATCTAAAAGCTAGTTCCACTGTAAGATTGCTCTATTTTGATTAAAGGAAAGCTTATGCGAACACCCAAGATAGTCAACATATGTATCAGAGAAATAAAAAACATCAGTAAAGTATTAGAATTCTGGAAGAAATTTGGTAAGAATGAAGAAATTCCTAACATTTAGGAACATTTTGAAAACATGCTATTTAACTCAAGGGTATTGTGGAACAATGAGTCCACTGAAACTCATAAAGTCTATTCAAGTGAGGATGTGAAGCCTGACACATAGCAACCATCTTTGCAAACCTAGAATGGAATTGACCGGTTTCAGTATGGGAGGATGCTCAGAGTCCTTAACTCTGACCAGTTGTGGTGGATAAGGTCAGTCAGAGGAGGAGGAGAGTGGTAAGCAGCAGAAGAAACTGAATTGTATTTGTTCCTTAATGCAAGTTCTTTTGCTAATTTCTGTTAAATTCAGTAAATGTTTTCAGTAAAAAGTCTAAGCAAGTAATTAAGAATTCTGCTACTGTATTTTAAAATACCCCAAAATGTTTTGAGTTTTCAATTTGAAATATTTTTCAATGTCTTCAATTTTCAAGCACCAAGCTAAACAAAGACTGACAATTAGATCAGCATGAAAGTTTTTCCTCTAATCTTTTCATTTTTTTTTTTCATGCAAATAGAAACCCAGACTCACAGAACTCTAATTATGCCACAATTTTGCATGTTACAATACATAAATGAATCATGATGTGGCTGAATTTGAAACTTGAAGAGCTCACTCGAGGAAGATTGGGTTCCCAATAAATAGATACACAACCTAATACTTTTCTGGGCTTCTGATAAATAGAATTATAACCTAACACTCTGAAGTATTTTACAGCTTTCCTTTCAAAGGCTTCAGAATGCTTTTCTAACAACAATAATAAAGTAATCCTAAAACACAGCTGTGAGATACTTGTTTACATAAAAGGTTAATACTTGTCAAAGCAAAAAGTAACTGACTCACACAAGGTCAGAGAGCAAACCTGGAGGATGGGACGAAGCAAAGCCAGTGGCTACACCTTTGCCATTAGATGGGTCTGCTCATCAGGCTGTGTCCATGGCACTGGCCCAGATAGGCAAAAGCACTTTACGAAGCTCGTCGGTGGTCAACCTCCAGTGCTAGAAGTAGAAAACACTTCTAATATTAGCTGAAGCAATAAAATATTCCAGTTGTGAACTTTGCAATTGTCCTTAACTACTCTGAGTTTTTTTTCTTACACATTACATAAAATGTTTGGGGTTGAATTTTTTTCCAGTTTTGTGTCAGACCTCTCAGGGCTACAGTGGTTGAGAGAATTCCTAGTTATGAAGGATTTTCCAGTGAATTTGGGTTGTTTCCAGACAGTTTTGGATATCATGGGTTTGAAGTCATTTTTTACTCTCCAGTGTAACAAATCTGGTTTACAGATGGGGAACTGAGGCACAGAACAACTTGCTAGAGGTCACTCTAGACTGAATTGTGGTCTCCTGTGTATGTGCTCTGTCAACAACTATGCCGTGCTCTCACTAGTTCATTCCTTCTATCAATTCTGCTATCTGTGCACAGACACATTACAGAAAAATGAGTATTTTTCTGACGTATCAAGCATCTAAGAGTGAGGCCAGAAATGAACTAGGGAACTCTGTTCAGATCTGTTATCAATAATATGCTGAGATGTGCAAGAATTTATCAGCCCTTATAGAGATCTAGAAAAATTCAAACTTAAAGGTAACCATGGCTGAGAAGAAAAGTAACCTACTGTCATGAATGAAGTAGAACCAAAGAAAACTCTGAGTCTAAGAAAGGGAAACAAAAAGGGATGATAGCTGATACATGCTGCACAATATCAGAGAAGAATGGGGATATTCACAAAAGCTAACCTAAGCCTACTGAGGCTAATGAGCAAGGCATTTTTTATAGTTAAGAGAGAGATAAATTCCTCTCCAGGGCAATTCACAGCTGAAACTTAAATTAGCCATCATTATAGAGGCAACCAAGGGAGATTAGTTAGCCTTTGTAACAGTCTTGTCCCTCACTGTACCTCTGCTATAGAATTTTATTAACTTATTTTTAATACATCAGTGTTTTTGGAGTAATGCTTGCATACTTCTATAAAACCATCCTCTTACATTTTACAGGAAAATACAAATGTACGAAACAAGGAGTTCACAGACTCCTTTCTCAGTGGAGCTGCACGCCCTGTTCCCAGAAGAATGAATTCTGCTGCAGGAGTGCAAGTGGAGCATCGGCAGCATTTTGCCATGCCAACTTCCAAACTTGGGGCTCTAGAGTTTTTAACAGAACAGTTGAACTGGAAAACATTAAATTTTATGAGCATCCTAGAAATAGTCATAAGACATCATCTTACCCTTAACTGGCAGGGAAATGTGCAGAAAATCGCAGGTCAGTTTTATTCCTCAGGTGATCTAAAAGCCTGAACAGCATCTAGAGCTTGTTCAGTTGACAGGGGGACTGCTCATTTGAACAGGGTCAGAATTTCACCCTCTGTTTTTCACTTGACATTTTGAAGTATGCTGGTTACGATTTTCACATTTCTTTCTGTCTGTGCATGGTTAGGTAATTCTAAATGGGCTTTTTTGTTTGTTTGTTGAGAAATAAAACTCAGATATGGAAAAAAATGAAGAAAGCTGGCCTTATTGGTATATAGTCCACAGAACATGTCTTACCAAGTCCACGAAAAACATACACTTCATAAAATATGTCTGCCTGCAGTAACCTGGAGACACCACAGGTCACAACTGATCAGAATCTCTTCCAGGCAGCTTCTGATTTCATATTGTTCTAATCTTACAAAGGTTAGCATACCATCTTAAGTTTCTACCAATTACATAACTTTGAACTGAAGTGACTTTTGTGACACTAATAAAACGACATGGCAAGACCATCAGCAATCTGCTATAATGTTAATATATTAAAACTGTTATAGCCTGTTCTGCTAAAATACTCTAGAAATGTCAACTATTCACAGAAGCGGAAGAAAAATATGGGTGAAAATATTACACACAAACAAAAAAAGGCATCCAAAACCTGTTTTCTAAATGTAAGAGATTTTGTGCCCAGCTCTAGATATAAAATCAGATCTTCTGAAAACAGGGACAGTTAAAGAAATACAGTTTCAAACATTCATATTATTGAAATTATATTCAGTAGTTTTGTCAAAATTTAATTGTAAACTTATTATCAAAACTGCTATCATGAAATCAGGTAGCAGTACAATTAATATACACAGACTTCAATTTAAGGAGTATTTCCCTCGTTATCCACGCTTCTTCAATTCTGCAATATAGGCACACTATTTCAGTAAGCAGTGGTATACTCTTTCTCTTCAAATTCCAAACCAAAATTATGATCCTGAAAATGTGATAGCTAAAAGATAAAACAAGTGTCTTACAGAGAATCTGGAGATAATACTTGATTTTTATAGCAAGCCAAAATATTGCTATGAACACCAGCTTGGAAACTGGTTTTATTAAAAAAAAAAAAAAAAAAAAAAAAAAAAAAGCGAGAACAATCCATGCTAGGTGTTAAAATTAGTTGTTAGTTAGAAACAACTGACTAAGTTGTTAGTTAGTTAGTTAGAAGTTGTTAGTTAGTTAGTTAGAAACAACTGACTTACCTTATCAGAAAGGACACTATCTAGAAAGTTTTCTTGCAACAGCAAATAGCTATGAAAGCTTGCTAAGAAATAAAAATGGCGATTCAAATATCACAGCAAACAGCATATACTTTTTCTGTTGGCTTGTTCTTTGACAAAATTAATCCTCATCTCATTACAAAGGAAGCCTCAAACAATCTACCTGCAAATTAATGAGTGAGCCTATTACTAAAATGAAAACAATTGCATCAAAAAAAAAAGTGTGGTATCTCTTTTGGTACACAAAAGAAAAAAAAATTGATATATGTAGAATTTTGCATCTTATCAAATTAGCAGTTTTGTGTCTGAAAAAGTTCCTGCTTACTTGCTCAAAATGTTAAACTAGTTACCTTGTATACTACCACATTTAAACATCATCAGATAAAGAAATAATGGAAAAGAGCCTCAATACTCACATTTGGTTTTAAGCTGCTTCTCTTGGTAACTTGTGCAGCAAAATAAAGGAAGAAATAATTACACGTCTTCACAGAAACAAGCATTCATCAAGTCCAAAAGAAACAGAACACTTTGCCAGAGCTATTTGAGGGTCCCATCAGAATTTGGCTGGATAGAGGAAGGCTGAGGGTCAGTTTGTTTCCCTTAGACCTCATGACATGCAAATAGCTGGCTGCCTCACCACTGAATCAAATCATTCTTTGACATAGTGTGTTTACAAATTGCAAATACATACCATGTAGGAAGTTCTTAAAGGAACATATTTCAGACAGTTGTCCAAAGAAAAAAGGCACTTCTATTAAAAAACTAATCACCCCCCCC